TTTTAGGAAAGATGCAACAAGTTTTTCACACATGGATTTGGGGATCCTCTGCCATTCCCTCTTGCAGATCCACTCCAGTTCTGTCAGGTTGGATGGTAAACGTTGGTGGACAGCCATTTTTAGGTCTCTCCAGAGATGCTCAATTGGGTTTAAGTCAGGGCTCTGGCCGGGCCATTCAAGAACAGTCACAGAGTTGTTGTGAAGCCACTCCTTCGTTATTTTAGCTGTGTGCTTAGGGTCATTGTCTTGTTGGAAGGTAAACCTTAGTTCCAGTCTGAGGTCCTGAGCACTCTGGAGAAGGTTTTAGTCCAGATTATTATAAATGGTAAAACTGATCTAATATGGTTTTTCTTGTTGCACCACATGACTGAACAATTTTTTTTATTATTATTTTTCATAATAACAATTATAATATTTTAATGATATATTAAAATATTAACATCAATAATTAATAATTAGTGTTTTACTGTTAAAATAGTATTTCTTTTTTTTTCTAAGAAATCTTACTATACAATAATATGTTAATCTAAAAGAGAAAGAGCCTTGGAATCTTATAAATTTCTACTTCTACTTAATATTTGTTTCTATTTGTATTTGTTGATATATTTTCTTTTCTTTTTTATATATATATCATGCTAACCAGAAGAGGTGTAAACATGTCACAGTATATACATCACATTTTGTAATGCATTGTCGTCTTATAAGTTGTTTAATCAAATAAAAATAAAAAATTAATAATAATAACACTTCAAGAAACGTTTTAATTAATGTTGTGGTGTATCCATCAAGTAAAAAGCAAAAAAAAACAAAACAACTATGGTCTTATACAGTACACTAATATTTAACAAATAAATAAATAGACATGCAGCAAAAAAAAAGAAAAAAAAAGAAAGATACTACGTGACCAGTAATCTTTCTAACCTTTAAACTAAAATTGCTATTAACTGGCTTAATACTCAGTGCATTGAAACAAGTTAATTAGAGAAGCATCTTATATAAGTGATCGTAAAATGAATCGATGGAGGGACACTTTCTCTGAAGTCATCTGACTCGCAGTGAGAGATGATGGGAAACTGAATACCTTCACTTTGCACTCACAGTAGGGCACTGCAGTGGTCGTTCACTACGCTATTTCGCAAGAAAAAAGGGAGAGGATCACTCAAAGAATATAAATCGACCTCATCAAACCTCTGCAGAACTCGGTTCAGCCTGCTAGACACATTTTTATGATAGTGGTGTAATCAAAATCAAGTTTGCCGGAGGGAGCAAAAAGCAGATGACTCAGACAGCAACAAACAGGGAGTGAGTTAACGTTTTATGATTGGATGATCTACACCTCTGCGTTGTCTTGAGTCTGAGGTGATGGCAGCGCTCGTTGTAGCTCTGCTGGGATAAGGTGACAGCGCTTTTGAACGCATATAGTTTGTTGCCGAATGTTTGCACCATGAGCGGTGTACATGCAACATAACCAAAAATATCTGTTTTCATTTCCAAATCAAGCATCACTATTACTATTGCATGCTCATATTTTGAACAAACAATTGCATAACATTTAGCCACAAACTGTTATTTTCTAGGTGACCAAATATCCAACAGGCTTACAATGCCTTTCAAATTATTATCATTATTATTTACAGATTAATATCTCCCATTTGCTTCTTTTTTTTTTT